CATCTAATGGTTGGCTCAGGGAGCACTATAAAATATAGGCGAGACAACAATGACAACGTGATGGAAACCATATTTTTATTGGTTATCACAAACACGATAATGCATCAAACATATTTTATGGTGCTCCCTGAATTGACCATACAACATGTTATGAAACGACAAAAATGCTTTACTTTTCCAGCCTGCAAATCTGGCAAATGTTTAGTTCTTTACCCTGCGGACAGATGTTCAAACCAAAGGTGTACCTTTGTCACGTTAATTTGTGACACGAGTCACAGTCGTATAAATGTGACATCACAGTGTTTGAATAACAGTGGCATGGCGTGAATTGATCTGAGCGTAAAATGAATTCAGAAGTTAAGTTTTGAGAAATAAATATTTCGGTATATTTATTGTAGCGCTCGTGCCCGTACTACTTTTTACCAGTCTTCGTTGGAAAAATTCCTTCGTGCTACATCAAACAAAAAGCCTCAAAAAAAATTATTTTAAGGCAGCAGCGTGCCATTAGGGAACGGCAATTCCAAACTTTACCAATCCTAGCCTTGTCTCACCATTGTGGTTGTGGTCGCGGTCGTTGTCCACCTGGAGCGCGCGCTGCAGCTGGATCGTCTCATGCGTCAGGCTGCGCACCCGGACCAGCAGCTCCTCGTAGGACGACACGGGCAGCGTCATCACACGTCATGCTGGAGGGAAAAACAAAGCAAAGCGTTACCAACGGCAAACCAATTCAATTTTTTTTCAAATATTTTTTCCCCGTGTGCATATCGCACACTGGACTGCCTGGCGCCGTCTCCCTGACTCCGCCCGCGCAGCAGTCCGCGCACCATCGGCTAATGACGCATTGTTTGTGATATGTCCACGTCCGTGTCCCTAGATGCCAGCAGACGGACGCAGACGCCACACACACAAACACACACACACACAGTGTGATTGGTTTCTGCGCTGAACACGGCAAACAGCGCAGCCCGCGGTCCCTATAAGGGTGCGGGGTTGACGTCACCAGCCGCCGCCCGCGCCATACGCTAAACATAACTACGCCAGTTCATTTGAAAACCACGAGAAATGAGATGATGGCAAAAGTAAGTTTTTTTTTGTTTTGTTTTTTGTTCTATGTTTATAGCGGGCAGGTGTAAGCAGGGCCCGAGACGGACGTGGTGTCCTGTTGAACCTGGCGTAACACTTCGCGTAACACCGGGACCCTCGCCATGCAAATGCACGTCGCGCGCGCGCGCCTGTGTGTGTGTGTGTGTGTGTGTGTGATAGTGTGATAGTGTGTGTGTGTGTGTGATAGTGTGCGTGTGTGGGTGTGGGTGTGATAGTGTGTGTGTGTGTGTGTGTGTGTGTGTGCGTGTGTGTGTGTGTGTGAGTGTGTGCGTGGGTGTGTGTGATATGACGCCTTCATTACACAGCGGTACAGCACCATGCCGGCTGCACACGCCAGGATGAAGCCAGGCGTCTCCACAATTAGCATGAAACACACGGCTTGGGTGGACCGCCGGGTAAAAATAGTCCGGGAGGCGAAACAACAACAACAAAAAAGAAGAAGAAAAGTGTTAAAGAAACACATTAAATAGCATTATGCAATCCATAGCACTTTATCGCTGAGCCCACGAACCTGCTCAGTTTTGCATCGGGATACACGAAATATGGTATCTCTAGACTATGCTGCCTCTTCCTACTGGCTATGGTGAGTCTTAAAGAAAAATGGCACGTGCCACATTTGATTATTATTATTTTTTTGGGGGGGGGGGAGGTGGGCTTCCGGGGTTCTACTGGCATAGTGTTTCTTAAAACACTAATAAACAAAGTGAGCGACTGGTAAACACCTGTACACTGTAAATTTGAGGATATCTCGGGTGGGTGGGTGCCAGCCAAGGTGCCCAGCTCTTGGAGACAGCAGAGTCGCTGTGCTACAGAAAATACCTTGATTTATAATACCCCCTGTGTGAAGACAACCCACAGTGCACACCGAAGTGCACACTCGTGTGGTCAGCCTGTGCCACGTATGTGTGCGCGTGTGTGTGTGTGTGCACGTGAGGAGCGGGCGGGAGCTGCCTCCCTGACCAGCACAAACCAGGCCGGCCTGCCTGCCTGGCTCAGCTGCCTGCCTCCTGTGCTGTGCACTTTCTCCAGTGTGATGCTATCTTTCTGAGTTGAGTACGCCTGGAGGGAAGCGTGGAGAGGGGGAGGGCGGGGGGTGACTGTCACTGCCATTAACAGCCTGGATAACGCAGTCACGCGTCTCCTCAGCCGGACCAACCGCGCTCCTCACACACGCACACATACACGCACACACGCGCGCGCGCACACACACACACACACACAGCGTGACCACATTGTGGTTACGTGTGACGTAGCGCCCACCAACACCTAAAATTCCACCCGCGCAGAACGTGCGACTTCATTGAAAACAGAGCTTGAAGTTACCCTGTGCCCGCCATGGCAAAATGAATCGATATCTCCAGCACACATTATGCTAGTATGTACCGGGTGTAACTGTGAATACGCAGCAGTGTTGCGGGGTTGCATTACTCACTATGGCCGCAGGGGCCATGGCCCCTTACGGGTGTAAAGAGTAGGCAAACCCGCAACACTGCTGCGTATTGACTGTTACACCCGGTACCGGGTGATTCAGAGCACTCGCCACGGTGTTGCGAGATTGCATACCCTACGGGATATGGCGCCTTACGGGCGGACAGAGTAGGCAACCCCGCCGACAGCGGCGCGTGCTCTGAATCACGTGGTACCGGGTGCCCTAGTGTTACGGGATTACATTGCTGGGTAGGGCTGCACGGACCACGGCGACGTGCATTCAAAGATACACCCAATACTGCACGATGGTAATGGTGGTGCACGTTGGGGTCGTCCAGCAGCGTGCCGACTACTCGACGCAGCGCACGTTAGGGGCCGCACAGCGACCGCACAGCAGACGTTAGGGCAGTGTAAGTAAGTGGCCTCTGCTCGCCAATGGAAGCCAAAAGAGCCGAGTAACGAGGGGTGCACCGCACCGCTCCTCCCCGCCTCGCAGGAGGAGGCCAATCCAGCAGTCAAATCGTTCGGAACGGCAGCCCGCCCGTTAGCTCACGCCTCGCTAGCCACCTGCCCCGCCGGCCGCGGCCGCGAGCGCGACAGACACACCCTCGGCGGGGACCTCGCAGACCCCCCCCCCCCCTTCCATGGGCATGAACGGCGTCGCGACGGCGTGGCGCCTACCCCCCCCCCCCCTACTCACTTCCTTTCACTTCCCCCGTCACTCTGGGGTGGGTGAAATGAGAGGAGGGGTTCGCTGATATGACTCACGCACACACACGAACACACACACGCACATGACTTCGATAGCAAGGCAGCAAGGTGTTCGTCCTCCAAAGGGGCAGGGACGGGGAAAGGGGGCGGGTGGGGCGCATGTTCTCGTAGAACGAGTCGAACCGGCGACTAAAAAATGAGCTCTGTGTTGAGTTGCAAAGAGGGCTCGGGCTCTGCTGCACCCGGAAGAAGAGGATCAGGGCACAGTGGGCACCGAGAGGGGGAAGGGGGGAGGGGGGGGGGAGAGAGGTCAACTGGCAGGGGCCTGGCGGGACGGCCATGTCCACACATGGACCCGCCAGGGCCACCCGCCGCGCTCACGGCGCATCCCACCACGGCCAGACAGGACGGGGGACGGGGAGGTGGGGAGAATGTAAAAACGAGAGCAGAGAGGGGGGGAGGGGCCTAAGTACAGTGGCAGAGACCATCCCATAAGGAGATAATGTGCTGGGCTTACTGACTGCACGCGCACTCACCAATCACTCAGACACAAGTACCCCATGACGCCAAAAGCACACGGGATAAGCCGTGGAATAGTGATGCGTAGACTAGTTTTAGTAGAGAACTGTTAGTTTATGATATATATAAAAAATACACTATAGACGATGTGACTGTGAGCGTGGCAACGTCGCAAATCTTTCTGCTAGAACCGCTGGAGACCCACGTAGAGTACACCAAGTGAAACAAAACGTCTTTTTGGTCATATACTAGAGAATTTTTATGATTTTTATATTGGTCAAAAACCTTACTTTGAACGCTGTTTAATAGACAATGCAACATTGCCAAATTGACTTTTGCCGCTGGGGCACATTGTCTATTAGGACACACTACAATCACTACAAGATAAATTACATTATTTGGGAAGAAGTAAGCGACACCTTCGAACTTGAATCATTGTGACAGGTTCTTTTACCCAATAAATAAAATGGTGCCCTACGCAGTCACAAAACGAATGCCACAGTAGTTTCTTATCAATTCGTATTAAAAAAGGATAATCTTATGGAACTACAAGAGGCTGGGATCATGAGCAACGTACTACAAATTTGAACGCAGAAGCTAATTACAACCATGAGATGAAAGTGTCTAACCTCTGGCCTCTCCCCATTCTCTGACTTTCAGGTCTGTTTTGGCTCATGTCCCTGACACATCACATATCAAAGTATGTAAGGGAGAAGACGCTTACCTTATCCGCACACTCCCTCGGTGCGAGTATCGGCGAGAAAAGTGTTATCTGGGTCCCCCCTGGTCGATGTAGGTGTAGGATGTGTCTCCGTGTGTTCGTCACCGCGACTGCTCTGCGCGACGACCGAACTTCAGAGCAGCCCTAACCTTCGATACAGATTTCTCGCGTCGAGAACTTCCACCAACAGAATGTTGTTCCAGTCGAAAATCAGTATTTCAAACGATACAAAAATGCACCACAACAAATCTTCCCCATAAACACAGGCAAAATGGTGAGTCTGAGCCTTCCTATGTTTTGATAGCGAAAACTTTCGTTTTTATAAAAGACGGTGACAGCGTAAAAAAGTGCCAACACAATTTTTTTCAGTAGCTCGCAGTTTTACCTGTACTATAATTTACAACGAATTTTTCACTAAATAAACAAATAAAACGTCGTTGAAAGTACTAACATATCTTCTAAAATCAATATTTATGTTGAACAACCGTACTTTAAGATTCACAGTAACTACTTCTGTTGGCAAAGCTGATTGAGCTTTTCTTGTTGTTTGTGTTCTTCTTTGTTGTGATGAATTTATTTGTTTTATTTGTTAGGTTCTCGACAAATGTCCATAACCGGCGAATGCTTTTTTGAGTTTTCGGTTCACTATCTCTGTTAATTTTCACAAAAAATGGTAATTTTTTAGCCTAACTTTCGAATACATGTTTTCTTTAGTTATCGACGGTATATGCCACCCATAATTAACATAAATAGCATAGAACCGTGGGTGGATAACCTTTCATCGCCAACATTTGTGTATTTTGACTTGTTTTAGAAACTTGTCAAAGCTTTGTTATCCTGTCATATTTCCACATATTTTGTTGTTTAAACTAGCATTCATGTTCGCTAAAACTTGTGAAAGTGTATGTTGCAACTAACATTCTATATCTTTTCCAGTACTCCCTCCTGCATAAAAAGGAAAATGCGCATGACGACAGTATTTGGAGTGTAGCATGGGGAAAGGTGACAAGGAAAGAGCAGGAGAAAGAAAATGGTGAAAACCATGATGAGAATTCGAGGTATGTTGCTGTCACTAATTGTTTCAATAGTATTACTCATGCCCTCTGTTATGAAGCACTAAAAGTATTTCCTTTCGGCAGGGATTCCATTCATCGAGATCCTCCATCTGAATTTATTGTGACAGGAAGTGTGGACGATTTAGTCAAAGTTTGGAGGTTCCATAATGACCGTCTTGAATTGGAGCACAGATTAGAAGGACATGCTCTAGGAGTTGTATCTGTTGCAATTAGTTCTGATGGGAATAGTATGTGCAATTTGATAAATTTGCCATGCTGGAAACAAATGTTGTGTTTATGAACAAGCTTTCCTTCTAAAGTAATTGTTTTTGCAGTGTTAGCATCCACTTCCCTTGACTCATCCTTACGACTGTGGGATCTTGTATCTGGTGAAAAAATAGGTTCAATGGACGTGGGGTCTGTTGATATTTGGACCTGTGCCTTTTCACCTGATGATAAATATGTCATATCTGGAAACCATGCTGGTAAAATCATTATGTACGGTGTAGAGTCTAAGAAGCAGGAACAAGTTTTGGACACAAGAGGAAAATTTGCGCTCAGTATTGCTTATGTAAGTTATGTTTGGTAGTGTGTACCAAACAACAATTACAGTTTGAAACTTACTTTTTGTTACTTTAATTTCAGAGCCCTGATGGAAAGTACATTGCCAGTGGTGCTATTGATGGGATGATTGACATATTTGATGTAGCATCTGGCAAACTAGTCCATGCATTGGAAGGACACGCTATGCCAATTCGCTCCCTATGCTTCTCACCCGATTCCCAACTTCTATTAACTGCCTCTGATGATGGTCATATGAAACTTTATGATGTGTAAGTTGAGACCCATTATAGTTCTATCTGTGTTATAATGGTGTAAAGATTTCATTTGGTTATTCCCTAAACTTAAAAAGAAATTCAATCATTTTGTTTTGTGTGAATTTACAGCCAACACGCCAATGCTGTTGGAACACTCTCAGGACATGCTTCGTGGGTTTTGAGTGTAGCATTTTGTCCTGATAAAAACCACTTTGTGTCCAGCTCCTCTGACCACACAGTTAAAGTTTGGGAGCTTAAAGAGCGCCAGTGTATTAGCACCCTCTCTGTCCATACTGATCAGGTAATTACAAGACAAATCCCTTACATATTCTCTCTTTGAACTTTTTCTTGGTTTACAGGGAAAGTTTTATTTTTCGGTATCTTCATATGTATCTTTATTATTGCAGGTCTGGGGAGTCAAGTACAACCCTGAAGGTAACAAAATTGTGTCATGTTCAGAAGACCGCTCTATTAACATCTATGACTGTCCAACATAGTTATTAATTAAGGAGACATGTGAACCTGTGATTAATGTTATTATTCTTTGAACAGTACTGTGACATAAATATCTGATTTAGCTTAATCATTTCTCTTTTCCATAAATCCCAATTTGGATTTTCTGGTGTAAATAAATGAATTTGTACAACTACTGCTCTTGCATCTATCTAATCAAAAAATGAAATGGACAATGCTTTTTTCCGCTTTATTTGTGAATATTGCACGTACTACTCAAGCTCAAATTCATACCGATATTATAATATTCTACTAATCATTTAAATCTGTAATAGTCATTCCCATGACTTTATGTCATGTCAATGCGGGTATTTTAGTTTGAGCTTTATGCAGTTGTGATAGGCCAGGGGAGGAAAGGTAGTGAACAGAATTGTTGCAGATTTTACTAATGAAATGAAATGATGTGGTTACTTCGTAGAATAGTCTTTTTTCCTGACAAATTTTCTTGTTCTTATTCAAAACATTTCATAGAATCTTTACAAGACTGTGCCTAAGCCCAATTTTACTGCAAATCCCAAGGGGTTTTGATGTTAAGTCACAAATGGTGCGTCACTGAAATTTACCAAATACCAATGTATCTTTTAAGGAACACAAATGTGAACCACATATAGGCCTAGTCAAAATAATTTCATTCATTCTTCAAAAATTAAAAGGTGGTCTATTAATCAAGGTTTTTTTTTTTTTTTTTTACATAATGTAGCAAAACTCCTATATTAAAACATGGTATAAACTCGTGATTCAAATTTTAGTCTGTTCCATAACTTGGCAGCTTGTACTGTGAAGGACTTATTGTATTTTGCCATTTGGAGGCAGTGAAATTGAATTGCTGGAACATGTAGGACGGGGTTCTTGTGGTGATAGTTTTCCAAATTCATAGGGCAGTGTGGTATTCACGCCTTTTAACAACTTTTAGTATGCGCAGCTCAATGTAAATCGGCATAATATGTTCATAAATTTTAACTCCACTGATAAATCTTATACAGTCATTTTGCAGTCTTTGCAATTTGCTATTGTTACATTCAGACATGTCTGTGAAAAGAACAGAACCACAATCAATATAAGGGAAAGCAGCAAAAGCACGTGTGGACGTGGACGAGTTGCGGACTCGGATTCCTGTCTGGTACAAGACACTAAGCCGAATCCCCGAACAAACCAAATTCTTTCGGTATGTCGGGTCGGATCACCTAGAGTCCTATATGGGACTCTAGGATCACCCTGGCGTGCCTGAAGGCGTGCCTGACGAACCTGAAGTACCGGGTGTTGCAGAAAAGACACAGGTGCGGGCGGGTTTGCCTATCCTCGACTCGGTGGGCGCACGGGTCCAGGTCTGGGGAGAGGTGAGGAGGGGACCCGTGCGCCCGCCGAGTCGAGGGTAGGCAAACCCGCCCGCACCTGTGTCTTTTCTGCAACACCCGGTACAGTGGGAAGTAGCGCTGCCCCGCCGCGCCGCCCGGCGCCGGCGGGTAGGCGTGTAGGCACTCCCGCCGCACACGGCCGCCCCGCTGGGCTGCCTATCCAGGACTCCGCAGGCGCTCCCGGCCGGCGCTGAGGCGAGGTGAGATACCCGGTAACTTTGCAATCAGCAGTTTTTAAAATCTCAATCAAGAATCGATCTTGAAAGCAGATGATACAAATTTAAGAGGAGGGCTGTGCTGTAGGCTGTAGCTCTCTCATGTTTAGAAATGCAATCTGGCGACCCAAGCGGCGTAGATTATTTAGATTTACACTTTTTGGTCCATTTAAGTGGTAATTCATTAAATTTTTCAGTATCCTTTCCTCTGAATCCGCGTCATCCTCACAGCAGGTCGATGCAGTGCTTTTGCTCATCCCTCCGAAATTGAATACCTTTTGACCCGCCTTCGCATAGCTACACCTGCTGCATAGCACCTCGACCCCGGGCAGCACCCCCCGCACCTGGGCGCGCTGCCCCACACACGCGAGTGCCGAGTGCGCATGCAGCCCTGACCTCACCAGCACGAGCCTCCGCAGCACCCGCAGGCCGCACTGCTCCAGCTGCGAGTGCAGGCTGCCGCAGCTTTCTCGCCACACACTGTCCGTGTCCGTGCCAGTGCCCACCTCCAGCTGCAGGTCCTCCAGCGACTCGCCGTGCGCCTGCAGCAGGGAGAGTGTCGTGGCGCGTGGAAGGCCCAACACCTTGAGCAACTGCAGGCCGCGGCGTCCAGGAGGGAGCGCGGGCAGCACGGGGGGCTGCGCGTCCAGGGCGTCACCAGAAAACACGTACAGCCTCCTGAGCCGCGGCATGGCGTGCACCGCGAGCAGGTGGGCCTCGCGGGGGTACATCACACCCAAATCCAACACCGTGGGCGCAGCGCGCCACAGCAGATGAAGGCTCCATGCGGGGTCCTTGTCGCAGTACACGTGAGACAGCCGCGTCACCTGTGGCAGAACAGTCACTCTCAGAGTCACTTGACGGCTCGCTTGGGGAAAAGGGGTAAGATATTTTTTGTCAGTTAATTACATTTTCGACGAAACGGAGGGCGGCAACCTTCTGCGTGTCGTCGGGTCCACTCTGGCTGATATTCCGCACATTCATCACCCGCGTGGGCCGCACCACGGCAGGTGGTGAGACACGAGTGAGTCGGGCTGCAGGGGTTGCACCTGCAGGTGGTGCAACTGCGGGTGGTGCAGCTGCAGGTGGTACAGCTGCGGGTGGTGAATCTGGAGCTGCAGGTGGTGCAGCAATAGGTGGTGCAGCTGCAAGTGATGCAGCAGCTGGTGGTGCAGCTGCAGTCGGTGCATCAGCAGGTGGCGCTGCTGCAGGTGGTGCAGCTGTAGTCGGTGCAGCTGTAGTCGGTGCAGCTGCAGGTGGTGGATTCCGTGCTGCAGCTCGGTCCTGACCAAAACAAAACAAAACAAAAACACTTGTACGGAGGGATGGCAAATCGCATAGTTACCATGTCTACCGCACTGAAAGGGGGCTTAGGCAAGTGTAAATTCCCGATCTTGCCCAAACTCGGTATATTTGTTTCTTATCTATGTTGATGACGACTGACGGTAGTATTTTTTCCTGAGTGTCAATTTCTAGGGTACTTTAGGGGAGGCAATAATGGAAAAAATATTGAATTTGGGCCAAAAATGACGGAAGGAGGTCTCAAATCGAAAAGTTGCAGAGGAACTACCCCCCCCCCCAAAACCGCTCATTTTGAGTCAGAATATCACTTAATATTTGTACAAAAGTAGAAATTTGTATTTTTGAAATTATACGCTATTATACGGCTTTTATAGGGAGTTTCGGCACATGACTCTCAGGAAAAAATTTGGTCGGCATTCGTCACCTACATAGATAAGAAGCAAATATACCGAGTTTGGGCACGATCGGGAATTTACACTTGCCTAAGTTCCCTTTGAGCACCGCACCGTCTAAAGCACAAAAAAAGACGGCGCGGATCACCCAACCTGTGTAACCAGAAAAGAAGTCCGGCGTAGAGCTCCAACCTTATGCCCTGTCATGAATGGGACACTGAAGTCAAAGCTCACAACTTTCGGCTAGAGTCAAGTTCAAAGGTAATGGCTGAAGTTCGTAGCAATTTACATTTTAAAGTCCGTTAATTTCGATCGAAGTTTATCGAAGTTCGGCCAGTTTACCAAAGTGTACAAAAGTATGTCAAGGAAGGCCGAAGATCAACAGAGTTTTTTAAGTAGCGAGGTTCATCAAAGTTCAAGCAGCTTTCCTCTCCCGAGGAGAAATTTGAGCACTGACTGCAGCATGACGTCAAAATGGTCCTTTATTTTGACGTCTTTCGTGACTCATGGAAGACGTCAAAATAGGGGACTATTTTGACGTCATGCTGACTGTCAGCGGGAAACCCAATCGAAAGTGAAGTAAACTATGTGTGGATGGATATTGTAAAAGGATTGCAGAGAACACTGTGTCGCTTACCTCGGTGAGCCCGGCCCTCGCCGCCAGCAGGAGCCACAGGGCCTTGCTGAGGGGCTCCTCGGTGTTGCACAGGGTGCCCATCAGCTCGCGGTCCCCGCCCCGCAACGACACGTCCCAGGACTCGCCGGTGAGCAGGATGAGGGCGGCCAGGGCCTGCACGTCCTGACACCGGTCCTGAAGGCCCTGGAGCTGCTCGGTGGCCTGCTGCAGCGCGCCCTGCAGGTGGTGCTTCAGGGCTCTCCTGACGGGCAGGACGTCGTGGGCCTGCTCCCAGCAGCGGGGCCTGGCGGCGGCGCGGCAGTCCGAGCACCAGGCGCAGGGAGTACTGTGAGGCAAGTCAAGTCGAGACATGTAGCTCAAATAACACTTGAGCGGCGTGGCCAGCTCCGCGCGCGCTAACTCACCTGTCCAGTTTCATTCCTTCCATCAACTTCAGTAGTGAAAAGTTAGTGGGGAGTCCCTCCAGCGGGCCGTTGAAGTCCTGCGGAAGTCAAGGTCCCAATCAGATGAGGGCGGGGAGGGGGGGGGGTGCGGGCGGAGGGTGCGGAGGGCACGGGACACCACCCCAGGGCAGGGACACTCACCCGGCGGCAGGTCGGGCAGCTCCTGCCGGGCAGCCGCCTCAGGCACTGCAGGCAGGCCGTGTGCCCGCACGGTAGGACCTTGGGTGGCTGCTTGGTGCCGTCGAAGGCCTCCGCGGACATATCGCAGTCGCACTCCATGGCCAGGCAACGCACTAGCCGCACGAGGAGCGATGCGCGCCGCGGCTGGGAACGGGAGTGTCGCCGAAGCGCGGAGTAGAGCCGCGGTGGGGCGGCAGGGCGGCACGAGCACAGCTGTGTGGCAGTGACGTCACTCCCCTCCTGAGGTACTATATTTCCAGAACCTGGACATGACAGGACAGGGAACGCCGGTAACAGTCACGTTACAATTTGAGAACTAAGAAATATGTGGCTTGACTATATGGCACATAGACCAGATCTGTACCGGCACCGGGCTTGGTACCGACATTTCCTCCCATTCGGGTATTCCCCCTCACTGCAATTTTCTGGCATTACGGTTTATAACAAACATTTTCGACTCAAATCTTAGTAATACAAACCAAATTTTATCGCTCCACGTCCACAAGTAAAAAAGAAACTTCTTACAATGCGCGACAGAGTCTGTTGTTCACTTACTTACTTGTACCGAGTGAGGTACCGGCAGCGCGTCCTAACCTCTACGTTATCGTGCGGCTCACCGACAGGTCCACTTGATCTGCCTGCGCGGAGCTCGGAACACAACCATGACGATGGCGCGTGCAAGTTGTGGCCGCGAGGAGCGCTAGTGAGCGATCTTATCAACTCTCGCCGCGCGCGCGAGGTCCTCCATTGGAAAAACATGGGGAGCAGTGTCGTGAAGAAAGTGTCAGTTAGGACAGAAAACTACGGAAATTCGGGCGTTCTTGTATTTGAATGGGATAAATATACGTGCATATGTACTTTCACTTTCACTTTCTAAAGCGGATCGGTGGAAATGAGCCGTCAACATTAGGAACGAGCCGTCTCATTTTGGCTAGTTGAATAGCGCCTCATGGTTCGATCAGCTTGCCATTTGCCATCTACCCCGACCTTCGCATACCGCCATCCCCACTGCCCACGCCCACTGCCGACGCTCGGGGAAAAAGAAGAGTGTGAAAGGGGAGCGTGGCTGTTTGGACATGACTGACCCACCTCCCACCTCGCTAAACTCGTTTGTGCGTCACTGATCCTCAAGAGGCTGGAAGTAGTGCGGGTGAGCTCTGCCATGCCGCCCGACAGGTAGGCATGCCCGCTACACACGGTCGCCCAGGTGGGAGGCCTACCCGGGACTCCGCAGGCGCTCGGCCCGGCGGCCGACGACACCTGCGTCGGCGAGGCACTCGATGCACGGAGTAATAAGAAAGATGGATCCCCTGCTGCGCTAAATGGAATGGTTCCGAAACATGCCCGAGTCTAGAAGCATGCAACTCTTGCCACTAGGCGATTTCGTTGCTATGGCTCTTCAGCAGTCGTAGCCACAGCGGCACTAGCGTTTGGCTAGTGGCGACTTTTGACAAACTCCCCAAATACGGACGTGAGCCGGGCCCCGCTTTCAGTTGCTGAAATACGGCAGCCGAGCCTCCTTCTTATATTACTCCATGGAGGTGGTGGAGGCAGGGTATGGCAACGCACTGGGTCGAGCTGGTTCTATCCTTTGACCACTGCGAAGAGGGGATGGGGAGGGAGCAATCAAACTAATATTTCTCTGCGATGGATTGATCGCTTGGAACGATCGCGGTGTCTAAACACAACGTTTTTCCTTGCAGATTCGATATTTATCATGCTTTTGCGGTGTTGGTGGTGGTCCTGATCCTGGTGAAAATAATGAAAAAGTAAGAACGTCTGTCACTCCTCACCCTTGGCCTCTTCCCCGCCCCGACGGCCACGCTAATTTGACGAAGGCAAACACCAGCGTCTTAGGGCGGGGCGGGGCGGG